CGCACGTACATTGCCTACATATCAACAGGTAGGCGTGTGGCAAGCGTTAAAAAATATGCATTGCAAGTTATGCCTTCTAGACAAAAGCACAGTTGAAATGGTTAACCGCCAGCTAGTGCACTTCCGTCAGCTGAAATTTATGCGCGACTCCAAGCGTCGACACTTGCCAAAGGGCGCCATAAACTAAACTTGACAAGCGCATGCACACACACATACATACATATAAGTATGTAGGTAATCTAGTTTATATATACATTAGGGTTGCACATTTTTTCATTGCAAAAAGTTTTCAACTGAGGAAATTCAAACTCTAAAATAAGGAATAATGAGCAGTTAAGCTCCTAATTGACCGCAATTAGCGAAGCAATACCACAAATGCTATTTAATTGCATATACATAAATTGAGCCAGATTCCCCAAAACAATCCTGTAAAGTTTATTCAGTTAGCTGAGCATTGTACATGCATGGAGAAAATGAAATGCCCAGAAATGCAGTGCGGGTCGCTTGAATAGCGCCCCGTTTTGAGAATTATCGAAATCGGTTGACGTGGTCCAAAGTTATGCGGTAACATACATACATAAAAAAATAACAAATATTCCGGCGAACTGATAACCTCCTCCTTTTTTGGAAGTCGGTTAAAAAAAAAGTTCAGACCGAAATTCATCCATTACAAAAATTGTCGATTCCAACCCTGCTCGATTTGACATGGATTGACTAAATTGTGACCGATTTATCGCTATTGGAAACTGAAACCCCTAAAAATGACAAATACAGTTGGAAAACTCTGGAAACTTGTAAATGAAGGAACAAATTGGGTTACGTGGCACTTTAATTGTAGTTAGCTTCACCATTTATGTATTTAAATGGGTGGGAAGTAAAAATTTATGCAACCGTAAATTCTAACTCTAAGTAGAAATTACATCCTAATGTAAGCAATTTCTTTGTTTGTTGCTATCTTAATGTGCATCGAATGTCTACTAGCAACTTGTAACGCCATGAAAATGCTAAATCTAATGTTGAGCAGCAACATGTTGCTCGCACACAAAGTTATTTATGCAAATGCGAATTCGTGGCGACAGTAAACTAGCTTTGCTAAACCTTATCTGCTCCAAACATAGTTTTAGGTATAAAGCAACTGGCCCACAGCAATAACTGCATATGCAGCAGGCTCAGTTAGTGTCGAATTCAGAATGTTTTTTTTTGTGGCTTGTTTATCGAAGTAACGATGGTTGGGGGTGGGTAAAGATGCGCTGTCTGTCGCATTGAATTGCGGATTAAGGTTAAGCGTTTTTTATTGCAAATTTTTTTATATTATTAAATATACATACATATTTTTTGCTAAATTTATAAATTTTTTATTGAATTTAGTTACACGACAACTGCCTGCTGCACCTTTAAACAAATCAACGCCAAAACGATTACATCATTTACACATTTATGGCAATACAAATACATACATGCATATGTACATGTGTGTATGTATGTATGTTTGTTTGTTTATATGAATATATAAAGGTATGTTCTTTTGTGTGGTCCTACCAGTCAGTTGGCTTGTTTTGTTGTCATACCTAGTCGTAGTCGTCGTTGACTTGGCCTGATCTGGTTTGGTTTTATTTGATTTTCTGCTGTCTTCATGTCTGTCTGCTTGTTGGCGTGCGAGTTGACATTTTCAAGATGCCAAATGTGCTGGCGAACTGGTAAGACGCCAACGTAAGCGACATGGATTGAATTTCAAATCGTGAAATATTTTTCTTTTGCATTAAAGAATTTTTTTGCCGAATCAGTGAATTATTTGTGGGTAGTTTTTGCAATAATTTTTACATAAATCTATTTTTCACATAAATTGTAAATATTTAGGAGGTGTGGAAAGAATTTATAGCAATTTTTTTTTTTTAGTATACAAACATACATATATGTATGTATATGTATTTACCACCTTTTGAGTGCATAAACATACATTTTACACATTTTTAATTTTTACTTCTTTTGTTTTTAGCTGTATTACAGGGTCTTAAAATAGTATGTGTTTTGTTGGGAAACGATTGTTCTTAAGTAAGAAGATGGATAAAACTAAATAGCTAATAAACCGTATGCTTTCTGATAACTACTACTCGAGGGATTATATTTCTGGGTTCGAAGTTAACCCTTCCAATCCCAATTTAAGTTGGTTGGGGCTAAAACTTTTTTGACGGCATAGTATTGTTGGCTAATCCTTAAATATAAGCTGGTATTTTAGTATAAAAAAATTTGCGGAGTGTCGAGAATAGATTGCCGAATTCCGTTACGGAAAATTTTATGCCAAAGATGCACATCGCACTGGTCAGCAACTCTCTGGGAAAGTCGATGAAATAATACAAATTGCTGAGCAAGACCGGCATGCAAGCTGCCAGGAGAAAGCGGAGGCTACTCAAAGAGATGGTGCTAAGCATTTTCTTCCATATGTATAAAGCATGCAGGAAATGTCAGAAAAAAAAGCAAATCAACCACTTGAAACTTGCACTTTATTACACTAAAATTTTGGCGATATTTTTTTTATAAATTTTACTTGTGAATTTTTTTCGTTTTAGTGAAACCCTATAATTGTTTTCAACTAGTTTTTATTATGTAACATTTATAACCAGCAATGGCAGAATCGATTTTCTTTAAAACGATCATTCACTGCAATTTGCACCAAAAAATTGAATGCAAACAAATAAAAATGCAAAGATTGGGCTCAACCACTTTCTTATAAATTTTATAAGCTTTCATTAAAAAAGAAATATTAATCGATTGAAAAATGAAGCCTCTAGACTATACAAAAATTGTAAAAACTTTTACAAAACCTTTGGTATCATTCATATTTTGACTGCCTAAATTAATGCAATTGGTCACATATTTTATATGGGGCAAACACTTTTTCGCAGTATTCAATGGTATAGAATTCTTGAATATCAATATTTTTCGATCAGGAAACTCTTTTTATTTTCAGGAGACTTCCAGTAATAATAATCAATTGTTTATTTCACCATTGTTTAATACTAAAGATTTTTATGGGGGAACCCATTGCATTTTTTTGTGGATTTTGGAGGACCTATAAATGATAGTTAGTATTAAAAAATTGTTAAATAAACCATCGAGTATTGCTCTTGGAAGTCTTTTATTGGTTTGTGAGAATTCCATACCACATCTACGAATATGTGTTTTCCCCCATATAAAAATACATGGAAAACTTCATGGGCTTTGAGCCAGTTTTAAATATCTTTTTTATACACAAAAAAATACGGGTATTCTTTTTTCCCTTTGGAAAAATCCTATGAGATGAGAGCTTAACATTTTAAACTTTTTCTTCCCGCATGCATTTTTGGAACACCCCAATGTACGTACATGATTAAAATTGATTTTCCATAATTTTTTTTTCACAAAATATACCCAAAGATCCCAGCTGGCCTTTCAATAAACTTTTCATTGCGTTATCGCTGCATATATGTATAAGCTTTTCCAATTTAAGCTTTTAACTTTTTAAAATAATGTAAAATTATACGGAAACCAGAGATGTATTTCCTGAAAACATACTCATCAAAAGTCACTAATTTTTAAACATCTTCCACCAGGTGACGGCCGGCAATTTTAATATTTTCCCCTATCTTAGTGAATTAGTATTGCACATGCATATATGTACATATATATCTCTTGGCAGTCCAAATTCTCTACACATTGCCGATTGTTAGCGCATTAATAAGGAATTTCGCACATTTCGAAATCTCCGCTATAGGCTTATATGAAACTTCAAAAGCAAAAAAAGGTTCAATGCCGACGTCGCTAGTGTCAGGTGTTAGTGTGTCAACGGGCGCCAAATTATGTTTGAGTAATTTTATTTTCACCAAAGACAGCATTTGCACCCACTTAGCAATTGATAGCAGGTAGAAATCAAAGGAGAAAGCGCCGCGCTTCCACATACATTCATAGGCACATAAAGCCAAACTAAAGACTTGAAGACTTGACAGCTGCTAAAGGAAAAATAAGAATACATTTTAGACATGCCTCAACGCGAAATGGGAATTTGACTAGCAGAATAAAAACTATTTATATTCATGTGTATGCATGTAAGAAACCACATGCATATATGTATACAGTGGCGGCAGAAATAATAGACTCGCCTTACTTTGAAGAGTCTTAGCTATTATTCCATGGTTTATTTTATGTTTAATATTTTTTTATAAAAGCCCATATAAATCTCCTTTTCAAATTTTTACAAAAAAAAAATACATATAAAAATTCGACAAATCTTTACTAATATTCTAAACTTTTATTCAGAATTTTTAGACAAATTTGCAGTTTTTTTCAGAATTTTTAGAAAAATTTATGCAGCTTTGTAGCCCATTCAATTTTAATATAATAAAGTGTAAGGTTTAAGTGGCTAGAAAATACCGTCGATTTTTGAACTTTTTTTTTGTTTTTGTATTTGTCTTTAAATTCTGGATAAAAAGTTTGAAAACTTGGTGAAAATTTGTCCAATTTTAATAATTTTTGTAGCTTTTATAAAAAAAATATTAAACATA